AAGGACTCTGAGCTCTCCCTGGGAGCAACTCCAGGGTCCCCTCTGGACTTGAGCACTGGGTGGTGACAGCCATAAATCCCCTGCACTCCACTGGAACCACCCCCACCTTCCTTGGCCTGCCTGCTGCTGCTCCTGGGTCTCAGGGGTGCAGCTCTGGCCTGGCAGGAGCTGGGCTGGTCCCTGGCTGGGTCCCCTCCTCCCCAGTGTCCCTGCTGGACCCGGGGCCAGCAGCTCCGGCCACCTCCAGTCCCTGCTCCGACTGCTGGGCTGGGCCAGGGAGGGGACCCAGGACAGGGGAACTGCTGAGCTCCCAGCCTGGCACAGCTCTGTTGTGTTATATATAAAGAGTTCTATTATCATTATGGTGTGAGGATTCCATATCACCAGAGTTTCACACCTCCTCGATGTTTCTCACAGGCAGCTCCTCTGTTCTACCAACTGTTCCTAATCCCTACAGCAGCCATCCAACTCCCATTCCACCAATCCACTCTTTTATACCACTGTTCTTATTGGCTAAAGGTGTGGCCTGTTAACATCAGGCCTGCTCCTAATCTTTGATAATTGGTTCAGCTGCAACTCTGTGGGGGATAAGATTACATTCTATGCCACCTTTATACTGTATCCCCGTACACAGCTCAGCTCCAGCAGGGCCAGGGCTTCCTTTGCAAGAATTCCTTGGGATTTATTGCCTCCCCTTCCCCACAGTGAAGGAGCAGAAATGTCCTGGCTGGGTTGGGTCCCTCCCTCTGGCAGCTCCTCTGTTTGCAGGTGACAAAATGAGGAGGTGACAAAATGAGGACGATGCCCTTCCTTCAATTAATTCCTATCTCTTCTTCCTTCCCCCTCAGGGCACAGCAGCAGCTCCAACATCATAAATGATTTAGGAGCGGAGCCAGATGAAGCCAGAGCTGATGGATGACAATGCTCTGCTTGGGGGAATGTTTTCCTGCTGGAGGTTTTTTGGAAACAAATATATTTATCCTCATGCAAAATTGAAGCGCAGCCCCCATGGCAGGTGAGTCAGCCCTGAGTCAGGATCCAGCAGGAGCACAGCTGGGAGAGCCCAGGAGGCTCCAGGCTGTGCCAGGGAAGGGGGAACTGGAGCAGGACTCCTCAGGGCTCCTCCAATTCTCCCTGGCTTTAAGGGCTTCAAATGATTTTTGTGCATTTTGCCCCTCAGGATAGAACTTCCTGAGTCTCCAGGCTGGGTTTGGAAGCACCAGGTGTCCCTTGGCAGGAAGGGGCAGCCAGGACATGCTCTGTGCCTTGGCTTTGGGGAAAAACCCCCAAACCTGGGCAGGGGGCAGCTCTTTGGGGGTGCTGGGTGTGACTGTGTTCCCAGGGGTCCCAGGATGAGGGAAGAGATGAGGATCTGCCTCCATGTTTCAGAAGGCTGATTTATTATTTTATGATATATATTAAAACTATACTAAAAGAATAGAAGAAAGGTTTCATCAGAAGGCTGACTAAGAATAGAAAAGGAAAGAATGATAACAAAGGCTTGTGTCTCAGACAGAGAGTCCAAGCCAGCTGACTGTGATTGGCCATTAATTAGAAACAACCACATGAGACCAATCACAGATGCACCTGTTACATTCCACAGCAGCAGATAATCAATGTTTACATTTTGTTCCTGAGGCCTCCCAACTTCTCAGGAGGAAAAACCCTAAGGAAAAGATTTTCCATAAAAGATGTCTGTGACACCTGGGCAGTGCTGGGGGCAGGAGGGAGGATGGGGAACCCCAGCAGCTCCATGATCCAGTTCAAAGCCTCTGGAAAGGGGGGTGGAATTACAGGTATTGAGTGAAATACACTTGGGGCAGCACAAGAGCGTGGGGTGGTCCTGAACTGTGACATCAGAGAGGTTCTCCCAGCTGGAATCTCTCACTGCCCTTGGGAGAACAGAGCCCTCCCTGAACTCAGGTCACTTTTCCCAGGGTGCATCCATTCCCTGGGCAATCCCAGCCCTGCAGCCCCTTCAGCTGCACCAGGAGCAGTTCCAGGAGGTGCTGCTGTGGGAGGGCAGCAGATCCTTGCTCCCAGCAGGGCAGAGCCTCCCTGGCACAGCCAGAGCAGGTCCCAGAGCAGGTCCCACAGCTCCAGCTGTGCCAGCCAGTGCCCAGTTCTGGGTGTCCCCAAACAGCCAGAGAGGTCTGATCTAGGGCCTTGTGTTCTCTTGTGCCTCGGGAAGTGGCACCTGGGTGGGTTTGGGCACTGGGAGATCCACCCTGAGCACGAGGCAAGCCCAGGGGAAGTGCAGGAGTAAATCCTGCCCTGGCTGCTCTGGGAGCAGCTCCAGGTGTGGCCCAGGTGGGTGTGGATCACAGGATTTGGAACATGCCTGATACCACGACCTGAATGTCATTAATGCAACAAATTCATAGTTTAGGGCAAACTTCAGGTAAATTTTTTTAAATTATATGTTATTTCTTCTTCATTCCCTTTGAATCCTTTCAATCCTTGTGAATATTTGTTAGAAAACTGAATTGACTCAGCTTTTTACTTGAAAAGGAAGATGTGATGGGTCCAGCCTCTGTGGTCAGGTGATGCTGAATGCCCATCCAGGAAATCCTGTGATGCACCAAATACACATCCTGGACATGGAGCCATGCCTGGTTCCATCCCACAGGGCTGAGCTGTCCCACAGGGCAGGGGAAAGCCCCGTTTCAGGACATGGTAGGTGCCAATTGCCATGGGAATGCTGTGGCACTGCCCCCGTGCCACCCACACTGTCCCCTGCAGTGCCCTCTCTGCCCAGTGCCAGGGGGGAGAGCAGGGAGAGGATGGAGGGGATGCAGGGACAAGGAGAGGATGGGGGGAATGCAGGAACATGGAGAGGATGGAGGGAATGTGGGGACATGGAGAGGATGGGGGGGATGCAGGCACACCCAGAGGATAAAGAGGATTGAGGGAGTGTGAGGACACAGGGGAGATGAGGAGATGGATGGAGGGAGCACAGGGAGGATCAGGAGAGGCCTCTCAGCTGAGCTTCGTGGGGTGGGACCTGTTGACAGGGACAGCAGGGACTGGGTGTCCTGGGGGGCACCAATGCCAAGCACAGGGCAAACACCGTTTTCTTTGGAGCCCCCTGGATTCCCAGGGAAGGCACTGTCAGGGAGTTTTGGAGCACCTCACAGCACCAGCTGGTTCCCTGGCAGCCCCCAGGATCCTCCAGCTCTGGGGCACCTCTCTCTCCCAGAGCAGCTCCTGCAGCTGCCAGGGCTCCCAGGGCCAGCAGGGAACTGGGATGGACTGGGAGGGTTCTGCCAGGGAGGTGGGTGTGGGATGGAAGGAATTTAGGAAAGAGGAAGAGGTGCTGTGCTCCAGGGAACAGGGACAGGAGCAGAGGGAACGGCCTCAGGCTGGGCCAGGGGAGGGGCAGGTTGGACATCAGCAGGAATTTCCCCATGGAAAGGGGGCTGAGCACTGCCAGGGGCTGCCCAGAGCCCTCCCTCCACCTCTCATCCCTGGCAGTGCCCAAGGCCAGGCTGGACAGGGCTGGGAGCAGCCTGGGACAGTGGGAGGTGTCCCTGCCATGGCAGGCGTGGAACAGGATGGGCTTTAAGGTTCCTCCAACCCAAACCATCCCAGGATTCCGTGATTTTTTTTTAAAAACATACTCAGGAAAGGCACCCACCATCCATCACCTGTGGACCCACCCAATATTCCCCCTTCCACCCCACGTGTTAGGAAAGAGCTCTTACACAACATTTGTGCTTCTCATCTCCTTCCAATCAACCTCCCACCCTCCCTGCCAGATCCTGCTCAGCAGCCACACCAGAGGCACTCTAGGAAAAACTCCTTTATTTTCCTTCTGCTTTAGAAACTCTTTGTACAGCTTAAGAAAAGAGGCTGCCTTTAAAAAGCAATGGAATCCCCAGACAGGGATGCTCCATGTGCAGCACTGGGCACACCCAGCTGGAGCCCACAGGGCTCTGGAGGACTGGAGCTGCTGTTTAGGGCTCTGGGAGTGGGGTAACACTGCTCCTAAACCTCCTTCCCAAAGCCATGAGGTTCAAAGACACTTGGAGAGGTGTCAGAAGCTGCAGGTGGTGTCCATGGGGGTGCTGGTACACCATTCCCAAGGTTTGGCTTCTTGGGAATGGGGTTTTTACAGGAAATGGCATCAGTGTGTCCTGAACAAATCCCTAAAATGATGCTCCCAGCAGGGATCAGCTTTTGGATCCAGGTCTGGCTGTGGCCCTGATCCAACCCTGTGGGATTGAAATCCGCTGGCATTTTTCCATGGGGATGTGGAATGTTTTGCCAGGCTCTCTTTGCAGAGGAGCCCAAGGACCCCTCTGGCCCCACATCCCACTCCAAACATTCCCCACTGAGGAGATCCCAGCACTGCTCCCCCACTGCAGCTGAACCAGCTCTGATTGATCTCAAGAGAACATTATCAATATTTCATCCAGGAAGCCCTAAAAACAGGAGGGAAGGGTTAAATCCAGGCTGGACCCTTCCCAAACATCAGGATAATCCAGGTGGGTGGATCCAAGACGGTGTCAGCCCCAAATGGAGTCCTGGGAAGGCCAGGGTGAGGGAGCCCAGCCTCAGCACCCCGAGGCATCCCGTGCCTTGTTCTTCCTCTGGAATCTGACATCCAGGGGGTCGAATCCCCGCTCCTTGGCCCCAAAGAGGGCCCAGGGAGGAGTCCTGGCCGTGTACTCGGCTGCTGTGAAGGTCCTGGCGCCGCCGCTGCGCTCGCGCTCCCGCACCAGCTCCTGGAAGCGGCCGTAGTCAATCCAGGTCCTCCACTCGCCATCCACCTGGAACTGCAGCACAGCACAGTGAGAGGGGGCCAGGAGAGCCAGAGCACCAAGCCCAGGCTGTGCTGGGATAACTGGCATCCCCAGCTGGTGTTTTTCTAGTTCTGCAGCACAGGGAGGTGCAGCAAAGCCACCCAGAGGCTCCTGTAGGATACAGCTTTAGTAGGATGTCAGAACTCAGTGCATCCCTCCGGGTGTCCAGAGCTGCCAAGGACCCTGTCAGGGGGCTCAGAGACCCTGGCACACAGCCCAGAACACCTGGGGATTTGATTGTGACCCATGGAACAAATTACCAGCTTTGTATGAGGACCTGAAAGTCACAGAAGTTTAAATAGTATAATAATAAAATGATCACAAGGTGAAAATGTAGATATTAGGATTTTTGGTACGGGGGTTATGGGGACAAGATGGAGGAACTTGGGTGTGTCCAGCCTTTCTTCTTCTTCTTCTTCTTGGTCTCCATTTTCTGCAGTGATGTTGGCACTTTGGAATTGGTTTGGAGTAGAAGCTCACTGTCTAACACAGGTGATAGGTATTGGGAATTAAGTGTAAATATGTTATAGGTAGTTTGTAGTATAAAAGGACAACAGAGTGCCTGTGGCTGCCCTGCTGAGCAGATCTCGGCTGGGCAGAAAGAAAAATTTTATAGATAAGAATTAATAAACAACTTCAAGACTGAAAACTGAAGAGCTCTGACTCGTTCTTCAGAGGTACAGGCCAAAACACAAAACAAAAGGGGAATTCTCCCCTGTGAGGCCCTGGCACAGCTGGGGCTGCCCCTGGATCCCTGGCAGTGCCCAAGGCCAGGCTGGACAGGGCTGGGAGCACCTGGGACAGGGGAAGGTGTCCCTGCCATGGCAGGGGTGGCACTGGGTGGGCTTTGAGGTCCCTCCAACCCATCCCAAGACCCTGTGGTATCTCCATGAGGGCTGCACTGTTGGTTGCTTTGCTGGAGCCTTCAGAGCACCAGATCCTGCCCCACTTTCCAGGAGGGAGGCTCCTAAAATGCCTTCCCAGCCTTCTGCCCTTGCCCTTAAACCTCCATGGGAGAGCCCTGGGTGTGGGGAGCTCTGCAGGACAGGTGTGGCTCTGGGGCCATACCCAGGTACCCCTCGAGGAGGGACCTTGCCAAGGTCACCCCAACCCCAGCGTGGGACTGTGGCCCAGGAGCAGCAGCAGAGGCACGTGCCAGGGACTGGGATGGATTTGGGATGGGTTTGGACAGGAGGGCAGTGGTTGGGAACGGGGGAGATGAAGAGCTTTAATGACACAAATCCTCTTTCCATGTGAAGAATGGCTCACTTTGACAAGCTGGAGCTGCATTTGTCTCCCAGATCTGCTCTGCCCATTTAGCCCCAGCTTTGGCTGAAGCCTCAATTAGGATTTATCTCAGCTAAGAGCTTATTACGCATTTCATCCAAAAAAAGAGGGAAAACAGACCGGCTCCTTGGTTATTGTGGATTTCCCCCCTCCCAAATTTGATGGCTGTGCATTTCAAATGGCACTTGACTTTGTGCCCAAGAGCTAAAAGCTTTTTTGGTTGGGAAAACTGCTGACACCCCTGAAATCCTGCACTCAGCCGTGGCTGCTGCTCCTCCATCCCTGCCCATGGAATTACAGCGTGTCCCTGAGGGGCTGGAGCCAGGAGGGGACACTGCACAATCACAGCTCTGGGAACCAGCCCTGGCATCAATCAAGGGCCCAAGGCTCATTTCTCTTGTGCCAAGGTGGGGATGGGTGTGAGGCCACCAGGAGCGCAATGGCAGAGGAGACATCGTGTCACCTGTACAGGAAAACCCTGAGCCCAACAAGGATCGGGGCTCTGCAGAGCTGGGGGAGGTGACAGTGTCACACCTGACACCAGACTCTGCTCCCTCCAGGTCTGATCCATGAACACTCAGCAAATTCAAGGGCAAACCCAAAGCAGAGGACCCAGCAAAGCCTTCAGGGCCCAAGGGGGATTGCCCAGAAGGCTAGATGGGACACTGGGAGGGAATTCTCCCTGTGAGGGTGGGCAGGAGCTGGGATGGAATTCCCAGAGCAGCTGTGGCTGCCCCTGGATCCCTGGCAGTGCCCAAGGCCAGGCTGGATGGGGCTGGGAGCAGCCTGGGACAATGGGAGGTGTCCCTGCCATGGCTGGATGGGTTTGAGGTCCCTTCCCACCCAACCCCTCCAGGATTCTGTGACCCCATTCCCACCAAGCTGGGATCCATTCCAAAGCAGATCAATCAAGAATCACCATTTTTAGTGCAGTGACAGCACAGACATGAGCCACAGCACCAGAGGGGCATGGGGAGAAATGGCTCCTGCTGAGGAATAAATCCCAAACTCAGAGTGGGGAAGAACAGCCTCAACTGCCCAAATGAGATTTACAGCTTGGATTTAACAATGTTGGGATTGTTCCACGGGGAGCAAAAGATTTAGGTCTCAAAGCAGTTTCCCAGCATCCATTTAACAGGTGAGCCAACCTTAAACATCCGTGGGATCCCAGCCTAACATGGGCAGGTGTTTTAGGGAACTGTTCACTGCCTGTGAGGCCCTTTAGGGTGATAAATACATTGACACAAGGGAAATGGCTGAGCCCTCCCCTGGTTCTTCCCTAAGCTGGAATCCCAGAGTGCCACAGCTCCTTCAGCTGGCCCTGGGCTGGGCTGCAAAGGGAAACTCTCCCTCCCTGAGGGCTCTGCCAGCACTGGGGTGACTCAGGAGCCCCTGAGCTCCAGTCCCAGGGTCACAACACCCTCTGTGGCATGGATGTACAGCCAGGAAAGCCCTGATGGAATCCTGCACATCCTCCAGGGCAAGGAGCACTGCTCCAGGCAGGCATTAATGATGGGATCCAAGAGGCACAGGAATGAGGGGGAACAAAATCTCAGACTTAGCCAGGCTGGGCAGGGCTCAGAGGGTCCCTGGTGGCGCCTCCGTGCTCAGGCAGGGCCATCCCAGAGCACAGGGCACAGCATTGTGTGCACAGGGCTCTGCAGGATCCCCAGTGCTGAGGGAGACTCCAGCCCCTCCCTGGGCAGCCTGCTCAGGNGGGGGGTCGGGCTGTGCTCCAGGGAACAGGGACAGGAGCAGAGGGAACGGCCTCAGGCTGGGCCAGGGCAGCTCGGGGGGGACAGCAGCAGGAATTTCCCCATGGGAAGGGGGCTCAGCACTGGCACAGCTGCCCAGGGAGGTTTGGAGTGCCCATCCCTGGAGGGATTTAACACCTGGGGACAGTGGCAGTGCTGGGAGTGGTGGGATTCAGTCCTGCAGGTCCATCCCAAACCATTCTGGGATTCTCTAACAGCAAGTGGACAATGTTGGTCTTTTTTCAGGTGTGGAAATCATACATTGTTTCGGTTTATTCACAGCAGGCACCAGAAGGGGAGGTTCAGCTTCACCTCCTTATCTAAATTCCAGCTGAGATGGCAGCAGGACCCTGAATGGGTGTTGGACAGGTGGGGGCAATCGCTTCTTGCTGCATGCAATTAAAAACTCATTAAGGCACTGCTCATTTTCCTCATTATTTTAAGCAATTAAATAATCTTTACTGTTTAACTTGACAAGAGTGAGCAGATTGGGACAGACACCTCCCCCTGGTCCTTCCTTGCACACATTTACGTGTTCAATCGTGCAGCCAAGCCTCAGGCAGCAGAGCAGGAGCTGCAGTCCCAGACCTGCAGCCTGAGCTGGGCTGGACACTGAGATTATCCAACTACATGAACAAAATCAGCAGGAAAATCAGCAGGGAAAGAGCTTCCTCATGGCTGGAAACCTTCCCAAAGGCTTGGGAAGATTCTGTGCCATGTCCTGATCCCTGCAGTGCCCCAGCCCTGCCCTCAGACACCGTGCCATGAGACAAAGGGACAGCCCGGCAGCTTGGGGTTCCTTCCTTAAATTCAGGGGGACAGGGGGAAGCAGGAAGGCTCTGCTCAGGCTGGAGCTCACAGCACTGCTCTGAGCTGAGTGCCAGAGCTTCACCCTGCCCAGAGCAGCTGTGGCTCCCCCTGGATCCCTGGCAGTGCCCAAGGCCAGGCTGGACAGGGCTGGACAGGGCTGGGAGCAGCCTGGGACAGTGGGAGGTGTCCCTGCCATGGAGGGGTGGCACTGGATGGGCTTTAATGTCCCTTTCAACCCAAACCATTCCATGATTCTAGAATTCAGCAAGGACAGACCCCTAAGATCAAGCCCAGCACTGACCCAGCACTGCTGAGCTCACCCTGACCCATGGCCCCAAGTGCCAATCCAGTCATCTTTCACATCCCTCCAGGGATGGGCACTCCACCCCTGCCCTGGGCAGCTGTGCCAGGGCCTGGCCTCCCATTTCAGTGAGAAATTTCCCCCAAATCCCCCCTGAGCTGCCCTGGCCCAGCCTGAGGCCGTTCCCTCTGCTCCTGTCCCTGTTCCCTGGAGCACAGCCCGACCCCCCCGGCTGTCCCCTCCTGTCAGGAGCTGTGCAGAGCCACAAGGGCCCCCTGAGCCTCCTTTGCTCCAGGCTGAGCCCCTGCCCAGCTCCCTCAGCCCCTCCTGGGGCTCCACACCCTCCCCAGCTCTGTTCCCTTCCCAAAAATGCTGCACATCAAACAAACCTCTGCCTTTCCAAACCCAAAGAGGGCACCATGGGAAGAAAAGGAGTTCTGGCACGTTCCAGACCTTAAATACAACCATCAGCTCTGTACAAGTGTGACAGTGACACACTGGCATTAGAACAGATTAAGGCAATAAATCAATTTGATGCATTTTAATGACTTAGTCTCCCTTTGCTATTGGCTTAAGTGGGAGAATGGGGTCCCACAGAGTTACAGCCCTGTGAGGCACTCATGGAAATGAGAACAAGGATTAAGCCCTGCAAGAATCTAAATCTCTCTCCATCCACCCAGTGAGTCTCTCTGGAGCAACACTGGATTAGCTGCCTTCATCTGAAACGGACATCATTTATCCCAAATCTGCAGCCACAAAATCCCCAGGCTCAGCCCCATTGTTGGGCAGAGCTTTGCAGAATCTCCCCATCTCTCTTTGTT